TCGCGCTGGGCAGTGAGCTAGTTAGCGTGCAGTGAGACTCCGGAGGGCAAGACGGACACAGTGCCTGCCCGCGTGGGCGTGGAGTCTACTAGGGAAGCCAGACAACTGCACCACGAGGTGTCCCGAGTGCTTTGTGATCACTGGTGCGGCAGGAGTCCAAGAGCAGGTGCACATCACCTGGAGAAGATGTCAAGGACAGAGAGCCTGTCACACCCCCTCTCCAGAAAGGATGTGGTCCAATACGATTCTAGAGCAAAGAGCTCCTGGACAGCAGTGTTCCTCACTCAGTTCACTGTCAAGATCAACAACAGGAGTTTATTTTTAACAAACTGCAGCTTCTTAGATCCTAAACCCAGTTTCTTTTTTTTATTTTAATTTTTTAAATTTTATTTCTTTCTTTCTTTGGTGAGGGAGATTGATCCTGAGCTAACATCTGTGCCAGTCTTCCTCTATTTAGTATGTGGGATGCCACCACAGCATGGCTCCCTTGAGCCGTGTGTAAGTCTGCACCCGAGATCTGAACCCTCGAACCCAGGGCCACCAAAGCAGAGCGTGCGAACTTAACCACTACACCACTGGGCCGGCCCCTAAACCCAGTTTCTTGATTCAGGCAGTCAAAGGCAATGGAAGGGCATCAATATTTAATCTTTCTCAGTGCCTTTGATGACCTGCCAGGTTTACCAGCCACTGCTCTCAGGGGTCCTTGTTGGGACACCCAGAGGTACCCAGTTAAATGAAACAAGTAGAAGGGAGAAGTGAAATGGATCTCGAGAGTTTAGGATTTCTTTGGACAGAGATGTTGGGGTGACTTCTCCCCAAGAAGATGAAAGATCAGGTCATCGGCTAATGCAGTTGTCCAGGCTAATGCAGGAAATCGCCCGGTGCATCACCGCAGTTAAGGAGCAAGCAGGGAAATCCTCTCCCACGTAACAGTGAGGAGCCTCCATGCTGTCAGATGGACCTGACCCGGTGCTTAGCCCACGGAGGTGGTCTTCTCAGTCTTCGGGCAGAGATGACACCTCGTGTTTAGAAAGGAACCCACAGAAATATCAATGAGAAGAAGCTAACAAAGGTAAAAGTCCTTACCAGTTGTTTGAATTCTCTGGGGCTGCTGTAACAAATCACCACAAACTGCGCAACTTGAAACAACAGAAATTTATTGTCTCTTAGTTCTGGAGGCTGGAAATCCAAAATCAAAGTGTCAGCAGGGCCAGGCTCCGTCTGAAAGCGGTAGGGGAGAATCCTTCCTGGCCTCCTGCAGCTTCTGGGGGAGGCCGGCAATCCTTGGCATCCCTCGGCTTGCAGCTGTGTGTCCCCAGTCTCTGCCTCTGTGGGCACATGGCCATCCTCCCCTCGTGTGTCTGCGCCAGCCTCTCCTCTTCTCGTAAGGACACAAGCATATTAGATTAAGGCCCGCTCTACTCCAGTATGACGCCACCTTAATTACCGACAACAATCCTATTTCCAAATAAGGTCACGTTCCGAGGTCCTGGGGTTAGGCCTTGGACCTACTTTTGGGGGGACATGATTCAACCCGTAACACTCATGAAGTCCCAAAAGCCTTCTAGTGTCAGCAAAGGCCAGAGGCCAAGAGACTCTCTTCAACCCACCCAACTCTCACACTCCCACCTTTGAGGGTCGCTCCTAAGACCAAGATCTTGGGAAAATGTTGAGAAGCCACGAGGAACACTTGATATGTCACGAAAACACACAGAGATTTGACCTTGTAAACGTTCTTTAATGAAGCTATTCTTTGAACAGGCCCCTGGAATTAATTATGCCTTTCAAATCAGTTTCCCCGCTTTTCTTCTACCCATCGCCCCCCCACCAAGATGTTACCCAAGAGGCAGGAAAATTACAGTGTTTATGACAGTGCCAAAAGTAACCGAGTGTTCCATGAAACTGTGGACTCCAACGGAATAGTGATCTGCAAAAATCACGAGGTCAGGGCCAGCCCCGTGGTGGAGCGGTTAAGTTCACACACTCTGCTTCAGCAGCCGAGTTTTGCTGGTTCGGATCCCGGGCACGGACCTACACTGCTCATCAAGCCATGCTGAGGTGGCGTCCCACACTGCACAACTAGAAGGACCTACAAGCAGAATGTACAACTATGTACTGGGAGGCTTTGGGGAGAAAGGAAAAAAAAAAAATATATTGGCAACAGACGTTAGCTCAGGGTCAATCTTTAAAAAAAAAATCACGCAGTCAAGCTCATTTCTGCAGATTACGTTCCATGTTACTAGTGAGCAAAGACTTTCAACGTGTAACAACACGCCTTGCATCAGTGGACCTTGGGCATGATGCCAGCTTGGGTTAGTGAAACCAGGAAGGAGTCAGATTCTGATGGCTCCAAGTGCCACCAAGCATCCCAGCATGGTGGCCTGTGGATTTCAGAGAAGCAAATGAAGATTGTCAAGTGGAAGAGAAATCCAATGTTACCTGAGATCTGAGGAAGGTAAGTCAACAATTATCACATCATCAAGGAGCAATAGCTACCCCTGGGCAGAGCACACTCGTGCACAGCAGCATGGAAATTTCTAAAGCAAACTTTCCCTGTTTCCAACTATGGGGAGAACCCTCACTGCCCACTGAGCTCCGGCAGCTAGAGAGGACATTTGCTAAGGATCATTGCCTAACCGGGCATAACAAAGCTCCCCAATCTGGAAAACAGGCTTAAAGAAACCTCAGACTGTTCTCCTTGTGGCCCATGAGAGCTACTTCCATGTACTTGCAAAGGAAGGCAAATTCAGCTCCCACCTCACCACCCCACTTTACCTCCCAGCAAAAAGAAAAGTCTGGAGAAATACCCAGAAGTTCTCGCCAGTAACAGCAAGCTCTACAGGAATTCACAACTGGCAACCGACATTTCCCTCCCACCAACTACACAGTGGGCTGGAACTCTCACCACGGCCAAGCCTTGAGAGAAGTTTCTCTCACCCATCCATCACCCTATCTTGTTTTGCTTTTTAATGTTCAAATACAGGAACTGTAGGTCTCAGAGCTTACTCTGACACTAGACCCCCAAAAGAGAATGATGGCCATTGTTTTGGAATCATTTCAAATGAGAAACAGACTAACCCAAAATGTGAATTGTGTGCACCTGGGAGACAAGAATGACCATGAAGTGCTATTGGACAAACCACTCTCTGACCTTCCAGAGCCTCTGCATGTGCTGTCTGTGACACAGGAGGGCATCCTCAAAGTGCCGGGTGCCGGGATAGGCAAGTCTCCAGGCACCAGATGCTGAGTCCCACCAAGGAGGTTCTTTCATAAACAGAACTCCAGACTGTGCGTGCCTTCAGACGATGATGGGGATTCCTTCAGTGCAACGAGGAGAAAAAGGAAGCATCATTTCTCCTCCCAGAGGGCAGACTTCAGCAGCATCCTGTGACTTCATAAAAAGGAAAAAGCCAGTGCGCAACACTGACACAGGGTGAAAGGAAAAGGGAGAAAGAAGTGCAATCATCACCAACATGGGGCTTTAAACAAACACCACCCTGGCCTGTGGGAAACAACCACCAACCCACCCGAGGGCCCACCTCAGGCCAGGGCTGCTGGAGTTGGAAATGCTCAAAGGGCAGGGCATGCTTCTCTCCTGAATCAAGAGCTTGATGGAAAAGCCAAGGCAGCCAACGTTTCAGGGTTCACTCAAGGGTGCTTGGTTGCTTTGCGTGGCATCGGCTCAGGCGTTGGGAAGAAAAACCTGTTATTATCACACGGTGGACCTAGGGAAGCCAGTGTGTGTCCTGCAGTCCTTCCAATGGGAATGAAGAGAGACTCAGCGTCGAGCCAGGCCTAAGCCCTACTTAAGACTCGCTTCAATCCTTGGTTGACTTTGGGGTGTTTCCAGAACATTGTCTGCATGCAATTTGGCACAGCTCCTAAGAGCCAGACTCTAGCCCAAAATCAAGTTAAGATGCTGATAAGAAACAGTCCTTTTTCCTTCAGCCCTTTGCCCTTTAACTTCCTTTTCACACCCAGTGTCTCACATCTTGACTGAGAAATAACTGCCAACATAAGACCTCTTTTCCCTGCTCTAAAGCAAAGCAATTGTGATCTTGACATATCAACCAAATAAATCCACCTTAATGGAAACGTTCAGTGGCCAAGGACCAGCTGCCAAGAGCAAAGTATTAGGGTTGGCAGAGTTTACATTACTTAGTAACATCCAATGCCAACATTAAGTCAGGAATTGCTGAGCATTTGGTGAAGAATTATGAATCAAGGATTATGAGACTGGAGTTGAAGCAATGGCGTGATCCAGTGTGGAAAATCCTTTTGCTCCCACTTCCCTTTGAAGCCCGGCCACTCATGCCAAACTATAAACATATCACTTCCTGAAGGATATGCCAGGCCACTTCAGCTTGAAAGCAAGTACTGGCAGTGTGCATCCAGGATCTTCACAAACACCTAAGTACGCAAGCCCTGCCAGACTCTTCTGCTCCCCAAGAGGAGTCCAGAAGACCCCATCTCTCATTTACCCAGCAGACAAAACGATTAGGATGCCTTGGGCAGATGCGCGTTATCATGTTTCCAAAGATGGAGAATTTTAGTTGAAACCCCGAGAGCTACATACACTTCCATTGCTTGTGTTTGACTGAATGCCAAGTCGTCCTAAGGACTCTGTGACCCAAGGATGACCTGCAATCATTTCATTTCCATTCTCGAAATTGAGGTGGCAATGTGACCAGAGAACAGTGTTTCTCAACAGCACAGCCTTAACACCAGAGACATTATTCTAAAACCATTGGCTCCTCTCCCTTATTGTCAATAAACCTCGCACGTTTCCCAACACTCCTTGCTGGGGGGGGACGGTACCATAGGCAGGGGAGTGCAACACCTGGGGCAGTGGAGCGGTGTTGCAAGGGAGAGAAAATGAAACTTCGGATTCCCCTTGGCATCCGACTGTCCCGCTCAGTCCTGTTAACTGAGGTCAGTCAAGCCACAGATTAGCTCTGCCACTGCTCCACTCAGACAACAAAACGAAGTTATAACCAGACTTTCAGGACTTCTAGCGAGAATACTTTTATTATACAGGCATCATATACACGACAATTATTCTGGGAACGTTTACGGGCATGGAGTTCACTTCCAAAACTCCATTTCACCCACACCCACACCCACACCCACACCACCACACACACACACACACACACACACACACACGGTACCGCAAGCGCATGTTCAGGTTCGGCCCCACCGGAAGGAGACACAAAGTTATTGCTTTGTGAACAGAGAGCTTCAATTAAATAGCACCTTCCGCATCAAGGACTGAATCCAGGATCCTCTTAATTCTTCCTACCCTGTGTGCACACATACGAAGAAAACCTAAAGATGTGTTTGAGATTACCCCATCACCTTTAAAAGTAAATATTAAAATCGAATCCCATTTCTCAAAAAAGTCCTAAGAAGTGCACCCATATTTACAGACCCCATTAAATTATGCATAAATAAAATCTGTACACTCAACACACCGCTTCTCAAAACAGAGCCTCCTCCGGGACCTGGGGACAGCAGGCAGCAATGCACCGCTTCCCGTCTCCCCTTTTCAAGTTTACTCGAACACCAAGATGTGAAATAAATATGCAAATAAAGCTTAGTACCTTAAAGGAACATGTCATTTCAGTCTCCCATTTGAAGAGTTAACTTTCAAAGTTTTTTTTAAAAAAAAAAAGAAAAACATAAAATCAGCAGGCTTTGCTTCTACAAGTTTCGTAAAACCCAAAGGCCCCCTTTGAACAAGGGGTTTAAAATGTGTCAAATACCACTTATTAACTGGGCGGTGAGCAGACAGAATCTTCGCCTCCCACTGCATGTACGATTTGACAACTGAAGAAGCTGGATAAATACTTTTTTTAGATAAATATTTAGTGGACACAAAAGCCAGCCATTATACCTTAACACTGAAGGTTATTGTTGACCTGAATCACACCAATTTGACATTTCAACAGCTAAGTGTGTGGGTTTTTTCTTCACCCGGGGAATTTATTTAAAAGGTTCTAAAACTTGTAGCACCAGTTTCAGAGAAAGGAAAAATGGGGTTCAAAAAAACAAAGTATAAGCTTAATGAGTAAAGAACCAGGACTTGTCACCTTCTGATAACTTGTCCAGAGTTAAGGAGACACTTCAGCGCTAGAGAAACACTAAGGAATCCAGGAGGGCACGTGCAGATCCAGAAATCAGTGGAAGGTGGGTCAAAATGTCCCCCAGGCCAGAGGGGTTCCCAGTCTGTCCAGTAGAGAATGACTTTGAAGTCCTTTTCCTTCAAGACTCTTGGGCCCTTTGTTCCCTGTCTTTTTATTTCCTGTGCTTCTCCATTTTCTCCAGGGTTTTGCTAGAATCGGCTGGACTCTGGTCTCCAGGGTTCATATACGATTTGTCTATGACTATGAGCGCCTCTTTTATGTAGTTCTGCACAGCAGACACGGCGGCACAGATGGCCTGGCTGCCAAACCCGTGGGTAATCAGACTGAAATGAGACAGGCAGTTCTGTATGTTCGTTTCCAAGACCGGGGTGGGCCGGTTGTTCCCGTTGGGTGTTCGGTCTTGATTGAGAAGATCTGTGAATTCCTTACACACTTGCCTGTGAAGACAGTCAACACACACCTGTGAGCTCCACCTCACTCTTGACAGGTAAAGAGCACAAAACCAATTACCCTGAGGATGCCATCCACGAGGCAATCAGAATTACTGCCACACTTAGCACCCATCAGTGCTGGGCCCTGAGCTAAACCCTCAGCAGCATTATCTCATTTAATCCTCACGGCAATTAGAAAAGATAACAGGATTAAGCCCAGTCAACTGAACAAAGTCACCAGCACTGGTGAAGAGCTGGGGTCAGGATTCCGACCTTGGAGGTTAAGGGATGGCCCTTCATTTGGTGTGGGTTGGTTCCAATGAGCCAATTACATCAAGAGCCCCGAGAATCACACATTTCCCTGAAACTCACTCTTTATGTCAGCTGGTTCACTGTGCTCCTTTTTCCTGATTTGACTACTTCTGCTTCATTTACTCTAACTTTAAAATCAATTTACCGTTGGTTTCTCTGAGAAGTCCTGCAGCGGCATTAAGCAGTTTTTGAGAACTTTCATTTGCCCACAGGTCTCAAAATCCAACCTGATCGTTACACTTAAAAAACAAAAAAGTCTCACTATCAGGAGGCACACAATCTTTACTGAATGTGACAAAACAAACTGTTTTCAACACATTTTTGTAAGATCCACAAATATGATAATCAAAGGGTACTTGAACTATTTTGAGCTGATAACTGGGCAGCTCAGCACACACTCGTCACTGAACAACGTGCCGATTTTCCCTACTCTTCTAAATCCCACCTGAAAGTTAATGTATTGGACTTAGTAGAAGCAACTTCTTCACCATTTTCTTTTGCTCCACACCCTAACGTTTCTAAGGAGCCTTTCTTTCTTGAGCACCAGGGACTCCGCTGGCCCTGGGTCCAAGGTCAGAGCATTCAGGCATCGGATCAGGTCTGGATACTCACTGTGCGGCCAGCAGCATGCTCTTCCTGGCTGCCATCTCATTCCGTCCCCCGAGGTGAGGCCTGGTTAAATATTCGGCCACCGATTTACTAGGGAATTCTGCTTCGCAGACATATGCAAAGTCCCGGGCCAGATGCACAGCCTCACCTGGAACAATCAGCAGTGGCAAGAGACTTTAGGACAGCTGCGGTCACCACTGGCTAACCATCCTTTCCTTTTCCTAGCACTGACGGTCTACCAGCCACTTCGCGTTCTAAAATGGAATCATATACGGGGAGAACAATCCAGCTGGGAGGCAGAATTTCCTGGGGCTTTTCAGGAGGAGGCTTTTATTCTACTCCTAGAATAGACGGTGAGATCATTCTACAGCGTACGCGAGAAAGGCCCTGAAATTTCTAACTGTCCTTGAACAACGTGAACCAGTCCCTGCCCGACTTGAACAGATTACTGAGACACGCCCATGCTTTCTCTCGATAATAAAATAGCTATCATTGTGGAGAAGCAGGGAAAATTAATGGAGATGAGCATATTTGACAAAAGCAAACTGGTCGCTTCTCTTTACGAAACTGTGACAAAGTCTTTGACACAGAACCTACTTTTTTTTTGTGAGCAGGATTATCCCGCAGCTAGTATCTGTGCCCATTTTGCTTCACTGTATCCATGGGATGCCGCCACAGCACAGCTTGAGGAGCGGTGCTAGCTCCGTGCCAGGGATCTGAACCCATGAACCCCTGGCCGCAGAGCGGAGTGCATGAACTTAGCCACTGCATCACCAGGCAGGCCCCAGAAACTTTGTTTTTAAACTAGGGTGCCCCATTACTGAAGCAGGCAAGTCTCCAGAACGTTTCTTTAAGAGAGGGAGGCAGGAGTGTGTTTTTCTACTGGAAATGTTCAAGAGCCCCAATTTGGACCACCCATGCCCTTTGTCCAAGTTATTGGGAGAGCAGAGGAAGAGAAAACCCATAGGAGTCATCTGCCACCAGAGGTGCCTAGTCCTGACTCCAGGGTGCAAGGCTGGCAGAGCTTTTCAAAAACCCAGATGGTTGACAACCCCCACCCCCACCACTCCCACTTGCCTTCTCCAACTTACTACGTCAGAATCTGAGAACCATTATTCTGGCACACACTTTCTTCTTCAAGCACCCTGCCCTGCTGGTCAGGAAACGTGGCAGAGCCCCATTCACGGGCCACGCACGCAGAACCCACCACTCTCTACGCAGGACAGCAGTTCTCAACACGCAGCCCCTTCCTCCTCGCCCTGAGCTCCAGTCACGCGTGAAGAGGGAGAGCAGGGCTCAGCCACGTACCTTTTAGCATCACAGCAGTGCCATCAGAACCAGGAAAGAAAATGTGCAAAGACTGCCTGGTCACCCAGAGGCCGCCCCTCGTTGGCTCCCCAGCCCTTAGCCAGAGCCCAGTGCCCCGCCAACTGGGCAAGGTGCTCGAGGCTTCAGGATAAGCCTCTGTGGTCCCCACCATTTTCGTGTGCACAGCAGCAACGAGCTTGTCTTGTTCTTTAGAAATTATTATTCCACCTTCTCTCGCCCCCTTGTAAAGGGTATATTACACTCCTGGCTACTTTCCAGGTTTGGGGGTACAGGCCCATTCAAGACACTGAAATGTCACATCCCGCCATCTCAGGACTGGGGAGAGGGGCTCATGCATGAGACCCACTGTTTTTTTTTTTTGATGGGGGGAATGAACAAAGGAACTGTGAATTGGGCCAGTCCCGTTGTACACAAGTGATTTTCTCTTCACTGACCACAATCCCAATATTCCACAGCTACAAACACTAGAAACGGTGCTGATGTCCACAAATAAGTAACCAGCTTTTTAAAGGTGTACAAATTGATCAATTGCATCTTTCAAAAATTGGTTCATTTAACAGGAAATGTCAACACACCACAGCGTGATTTTTTAGGTTAGGAAAACCAATTCTGATGAGACAACAGCACAAACTGAAAACACCACAAAACAACAAGACCCCACTGACCTTCCACTAAAGACGTGAGGAGGGTCACGTGTGCAGCTTTCCGTCTCCCCGCCGGAAGATTCAACCCAATCTTGTCCAACTTCTCCCGCAAGGACCGGCCTCCATTTTTAGATTTGGCTCTGAGTAAAAGAAAGTGAACGGTGGCTATTCTCAAGAAACCACTTGAAAAAACTAATTTCCTAAAGTGTTATCAAAACTGAAATTCAAAGACTGTCTAACATCATGTGCAACATAATCAAGTGACACAAGGAGACCTCATTTTATCAACTCCTGTGAAACCCAAAAACCTCTTAGCATCACCAACTTTAAAAAAAAAAAAAAAAAAATCACAGAACATGGCAAGTTGTAGTGGAGCAGATGAATTTTCACTTGTAAACACCACAGCACCCCCCAAAACCCTCCCAGGGGAGCAAAGCCCATGAACGTCCCCCGTCCCCGAGTCCAGACGCCGCCACTTCATACACGGAATCAAATCCTAAGCAAACGATAATTTGTTGTCCTGGCTTTAGCACTTCCTCCTATATTTGGCACTTTCTAAAAGAGAAGAAACGTACTAAAACTCTCTGAGCCAATTAGAATTCAGTGTTAGGTATAAAAGTTATATAAATGTTAAAAATACCTCCCCGATCCCTGTCAGTTATTTTACCTTCAACCACCCAACCACCCCCAAGCCCAGAATGTGTCCCCATGTACCTTCTGAGAACACCTCCCAGTAATGAGGCATTTAGGCACTCGGGCGGGGACAGCCGCCTCTGGACTTCAGCCACCGTCACTTTGTATTTCGACGTGGAGCTGAGGAGGGACAGCCTTCCAGGGACGGAGCAGAAGACCTCACTAGGGTTCATCACAGCCCCCACCAGCTCCTTCTGACAAGGGAGACCCAAGGGGTTCTTGGTCATCGAAATGGGACCTGTGAACGAGGATGAGAAGTGGCAGCACCCAGGGCCGCAGCCGAGCAAGACCTGTGCAAACCGAGTAAGACCCGTGCAAACCGCCAGCCAAAGCCGAAAGAGCTCCTAAGACAAGTAAGCTCACACGCCGGACTATAAATTGCAAGCAGCTTTTTTTAAAGCCATATTCTCCAAAGATAATCAAATCTGAATTTCACAAGTTAACACCTTGGGAAGTTAATTAGCCAAGATCCCAAGCGTTGGAAGGTTTTCATTTTCTAGCCACTGTTAAAATCTGTTTAATTAGAACATTTGTTTTCAAAAGACTGCTTCTGCACTAAATAAATGGTGAATTTTTTTTTTCTCATTCAACGAACAACCAAAATCACAGGACACGTTTGGATCCTTTGTCAAAACCTTTCATGACAACTGATCACAGCACGTTTTAAAACACAAACAAACCTGTTCAGTTATGTTTATTTGGAAATTGAGTTTCTGTTCAAAACCCATTTTTCCCCCATTGATTTCAAGCAGTTTAACTTGACTAACTACATTTACATTCCCCCAAACAGCCAGACTGGGAATCCCACCAGCGTGTAACTTAATTTCATAAGCCACTCACTCACCAAGTAATCTATTTCCAAATCCCCTCTCGGCCTTATCCTGCACAAACCCAGCGTCTGGCAGATCACCACTGCCTGGTTCCTTTAGGGCCTTGGTATTCGGCAGCCCAACCCCGTTTCAAAACTTTCTCTTGCAGGTCAGAATTAAGTAAAATCACATTTGAAATCGCCAAGTAAAATCACATCAACTCACTCAATTAATACTGTCACAGAACCAACCACTCAACTAAAGTGTGTGGTGTGCTTTTTCCAAATTAAATCGCAGTGTGAACTCGCCCCGCAAGACTTTCTCTAACATCACAAAAACACCCTGGAATCCGGAGAGTAACATTCCCCACGAGAGAACTCCGGAGTAACAAATCCGGAGGATTAAGAGGCAGCGCCTAGAGTTGATCCAGATAGCCTCCTTTTTCCTTTAGGCAGGAAAGAAATCCCCTCTTCTCATTCCAAAAATCTACTTTCCTTGAGTCCCCGTCGGTCCCTTCCACCACAAATGTCCCAAATCGGCCACCAAATGCCCCCACCTTGCCGCTAACTTAAAAACGTCACAACAGTTAAGAACCAGCACAGGCTGCGCGCGCTCGCTACCTACCTTTGCGAATAACAGTCTGATCGTGCAGAAGCAGGTGCTGGTCGTCGACATTCTGGGGGAAAAAATGACAAAGTTTCCTATAAGTTCGGGGGAGCCTGGGCGGGGGTAGGAGAGAGGCTGCGGAGCAAACAGGCGCGGGCAGGAGGGGGCAGCAGCCGAGGCGCCGCTCACCTGCACCTCCTCCATCGGGTGCGCCATGTCGTGGAGCCCCAGGTTCTCCGCCAGGCCCGCGGCGTCCAGGGCGTGCGCGTGGGGCAGCAGCAGGTCGGAGCGGCGGTAGGCATCCCGGCGGGCGCTCATGGCGCCACCGTCCAGCCCGGAGAGATGGGGTAGCAGGCTGGCCGGGCGCCCGTGGTGCGAGGGCAGGCCAGTCCCCTCCTGGCTCTGGCGGCCCGGCCAGGCCTGCTGCTGGCTGCCGGTGGGCGCCGGCTGGTGCAGGGGGTTGATGGCAGCGGCGTACGCTTCTCCCAGATGCGAGTAGGGGTCGGCTGACTGTGAGTAAGCCAGCTGCTGGTAGGGAGGTGGAAAGTAAGGTGGTGGCTGGTATTCGGCGACTCCAGTGTGGGAGAGAGGTGGCGCAGGGCTGTAGAGATGCTGCCCGGCCGAGGAGAGGTGGGGGAGCCGCGGGTTCCCATTGCTGCTAGCGTCGTGGCGTTCCTGGGAGGGCGAAACAGAGACCCGGTTAGAACGAAACCCCACTACTGCGAACTGGCCGAAGCCGCCGTGCAAAGCCGTGCGCCCCCGGAGACCCACTGCACCAGCCCGGACCCGACCCCCGGGGCCTGCCCTGGGCTCAGAGGGCACCCAGGAACAATGGGCCCCGGGGATTTCGTTGTAAAGCGCGAGTCTGCAGAGAGAAGGGAGCCCGGTAAAAGACCTGGGGGAACACGCCCTCAAAGCCCGGCAGCCAAGGTCGGGGCGCTCCGACGCCCATGGCAATCTGAGGCGCCAAATCCGAACCCCAGGCCTTGGGCTTGGAGGAGCTGGGCCCGGGGCCCGGGGAAGAAGTCGGCACGCGGCTCATACGCTGCAGAGACCGCTCGTTCACCAGCCCGCACATGTCGGCGTCTCCTGGCAAAAGAAGGTGGGGAGGCGGCGGGCGGCACGGATAATGCGCGCAGCACGGGAAATGCGCATCTCCCCCGCCCCAGGGACCCTCCCTTCCACGCCCTCAGGCCCATGACCTCCGGGAAAGTGACACTCCCTAGCAGGGCCTGCCACCCGGCGCCGCCCGAGGGACTCGGGAAGCAACGCGCGCAGCCCGGCCTGCCCTCCCTGCTAGCTGTGTCCCCACCAAGTGCGGATAGGACGTGAGACCGCCGTGCCCTGCTCCAGAGTCCCCACAAATCGGGGCACTGAGAGAGAATTAAGAACCCCGAAAATTGGGCAACCTTGCCTGAGCACGTCCCCTCGCCCCACAGCTCTCCGACTGAATTCCTAAAGGACGCGTGCCCACGGGTTCCCGGGGTCAAAGAGGTAGCGGGGAACAAGGAGAAGCATGGCACTGTCGCCCCCTAGTGGAAACGTCCGGGCCTGCAAACAGGGGCAGCCCCTCGAGGTCCCGCGCGCGCGATGCGCTCCCGCATCCCCCCCCCACCCCCCAGGCCCGGCTCCCCTCTCCCAGCACCCTGGCGCACGCCTCCCGCCGCCTGCGTCTTCCTCTTCCCGCTCGCTGCCTCCCTCTCTCCCTCCCACTCTCCGAAACTCTAGCTCAACCTGTCGGACAGGCTGGAGCACTCCCGAGCACTTACGGCCCCATCCTGGCCTCAGGCCACCCCCCAGCACTCCCCAGCCCCCACTTCTCTTGAAAGCCAAACTTAATGTTGTTTTCTAGTTTCCCCGAGGAGGTAGCGGGGCAGGTGACAAGCCCGCCACGGAGGAGACTCCGCAAAGGTGTCGCCGGCACGTCGCCTCGCCTGAGCCCTTTGGACAGAGATCTCGCGTGTAAAAGCCACGTCTAAAGGTTGTAGACAGGGCGCTCTTCCGAGAAAACGGGAGGAAGGGCTGTTTGGCTTCGCATGAAACCGACCGGTAAGCCTTGTGGGTGGGATTTGCCATTCTCTGTCCAGGCCCTGTTCCCGAGGCGGGATATTTAGGAAAAGGCCCGATTCAGAAAGGGAGCCTCGGAGAAACGGACTAGAGGGTGTCCGGAAAAGCGGCCCCCGTCCCATCGAGGGGCAGCGGCGGGTGCCTGCTCGCAGCTCCTGCGCCCTCGTCCCCGGCCTCGGTCCAGCGGCCCCCGTCTGCCTCCCGGACTGTCCTCGGGCAGGGCCGGGCTGCGCCCCTGCGCCCAGCTCACCTCGCAATCCTCTTCATACTTGACATTATCGGTTATTTTCCACAACATGGCGTCCGGCGTCCCCCAAAACAGTCGCCAGTTAGGCTCCCCCCACCCCCCGAGCGGTAAATCCAAAATTGGAGTCACGGTGACCAGGCGTCTGCCGCCGCCCCCGCCGCGCGCGGGCCTCGCTGTCCGGGTCACTGGACGCGCATCAGCCGCTGTGCGAGCGTCGATGCCGCCGCCCGGAGTGTAGAGCCCGCTGCCAGGGACCCGGGAAGCCGCGCCCGCACTGTCTGTCCCGGCGATAGCCGGGAGACCCGGGCGCCTTAATGAGAAGAAAATTATCATAACTCCTCCCCCGGGGCCGGCGCGAGGCCCCGGCGCCGGGCGGGGCGGCCCCCAGCCAGTCCCAGCCAAGCTCCGCCCCGCACCCCGGCCGGCAGCGGCGCAAAGACCCACGCGGCGGGGGCGAGAAGCCGAGTCCAGTGGGCGGCCCCTCGCGGAGAGCCGCAGACCCGCGAGGCCAGGGTCCCCCGTCGCCTCCTCCGTTCACCACCCCCACCATGCACACACCTGAGATTGGCAGAGCGGGGGACCGGGCTCCTAATACCTAAGAGCCCCCCTCTCGCCTAAAGCGCCTTCCCCCTTCCTCCAAAAGACGTTGTCACGTGGAGTTAGAGGCCCCGCATTCGGGGGGTGTCTCAGTAGCTGAGGTCCCCCCATCTCCTAAAAAGTCCCACCTCACCCGCTCCACTAAGACCTAAATTTGGGGCTGGGATCGTGCAGCTGGGGCCCCAGTGCCTAAGAGAGAAACCCCCCTTCTCCCGCGCTCCGTGGGCACCTCGCCGTCCGGTTTATCCTCCGAGGAGGGAAGGCCTCCTGGGGAGTCTCCCCCACGCGCCACGGGGTGGGCGGGCTGCTCCACCGCCCCCGAAGTCTGGGACTGCAGCATCTCGCCGCCATCGCCCGAAGCTGCGTCTCCGCGGCTGCCTGCGGCCGGGGGGCCCCCGCGCGCCCTCGCCCAGCCCTGCCCAGCTCCGGCCCTGCCCAGCGCCGACTCGGCAGCTGCCTCCGACAGGCCAGACACTCAGAAGCCTCGGCTCACCCAAGGAAAGAGGAGCGGGGCAGAATACAGCGCAAGTGCCAAGGGCGGGGGGAGAGAGGTGGGCGGGAGGGAGGGGCGCGAGAGGAGCCCCCGCTGGAGAGGTGAGCACCCCCGTTTCGCAGATGCAGACGGAACACGAAACTGCCTCCCACTTAAACGCTGCCTCTCTCCGCAATGTGTATTTGCTACCCAAATTTAAAAGCAACGCGCAGGATTAAAAGATTTTAGAGAAACGAAATTCAATAGCCGAATTATTTATAACTGACCTTTTTACTGCAAGGAGAAAGTCGCTGATTCCCAAGGGCGAAATTTTCTTGAAACGTCCCAAGTGACTCAGAGAGCTGAATTTAAACATTCTGAGGGAATCGGAGAAGGGGGCTACTTCAATTTGACTCGGAACCCGACTTTGCAATAATCAATACCTACCGCTCCAGTTCCCCGGACCTGAGTGGACGTTCCTCGCCACCCACAGAATGATTGCTTCCACCGCCTTCCTGCTCTTCGGGTTTGTTTGAGCTTTAGCCCTTCTTTAGACCCAGATGGGCCTAAAATAAAATAACTAAAATAAAAATAGGCTTCCTCCAAGCGAAACGACCTCCTTCGCCTTAGAGTAGACAAATCTGAGGTGATATTCCGACCAGATGTGAGAACAAAACCTGGAAGTGAAACCACTGGGAGCTTTTCGGGCATGTCTGCGGGGCTTTGCACTGAGAAGTACAAAGGACAGTGTACACACGACCCCTGACACCTCGCTTCCAAAACACCGGGGCCTGGGGGAAAAAGAAAACACCGCAGAAGCAGCGTGCCTGGCATTCGGGGGTGGGGGCAGGGGGCACCTGCGCGATGCGGGAATCCGCCCCCTGCGCAGCAGGCAGGCTGGCGCCCAGGGCGTGAAGGGTTGGGGTCTCAGGCGCTCCCGAGAGGGAGGCTGCAGCGCCTCCTTCGGGCTCCCAGACTCCCAGATGGGTGACGCGGGGGCTTTCCTCCACCCTGGGCCTTCTAACTCCGGGTTTGTCTTCAAGACCGGGCCTGGGGTGCAGCTTGAACAAGTTGTCTCTGTGGCGCGGGCAACTTTATCCCCGGACAGATGGGGGATCTGGGCTGGGCAGACAGGTGCCGACCCCACCCCCACCCCCACCCCGGGCCCTGGCTGTCCCTTTCCGCAGCAGCGTTCGCCGAAGCCACCCGGGGGGACCGAGATTCCTCCCAGCCCGGGGCGGGGGTGGGGGGGAGGGGCCGGTTTCACGACGGAGGCAAAAGGAAACGATGGGCCCTGGGGGTCTGCGCGCCCCAATTCAGGGAGCCCCAGGAATCCAGTGGTCACGGAACCGCTTGGCAAAGGCCATTCATTTTCCCAAGGCAGCTCCCTGGAGGACCCCGGCCTGCCCACTCTCCAAGGGGCCCGCGCTCAAGCTAGAGCGCGACTTCCGCGCTCTGCACGGGGAAGGCGGCTCCGACGAATCTTCCCGGCCAGGGAGACCCTGCCCAAACCGCGCGCGCCCTCGGCTTCGCGGCCAGAACCCAGGCAGGCGCGCGCCCTGGTCGGGGCGCCGGAAGCCTCAGCTCTTCCTTGAGCTCAACTTTTCTGCTCTCAGCCGACAGCAGGGAGCGGATGGCTCCGCATCGGAGACAGACCTCCCTCCAAAGCCCCCGCCCCTCACCGCCCGAAGCCCCGAAGACTGCGTGGCTGCACCCTTAGGCAGCCATCGCCGGGGAAGGGTCCCCACTGCGGACCCTCCGTGGCTTCGCAGCAGCCTAACTGTAAACAGAACGTGGGGATCCCGGGGACAAGCCTCGCCGCACGCCTCGCATCATGAGGGATGTGGGAGTGGAGAGCGTCAGCGGCTCCCCTCTGTCGCCCCCTAGGGAGGCTGCACTCAGACACACGCTTGGAGCCCTGGACCCAGGCCCCCCGCCCGCTCGGATGACCCAAGAAACCGCAGACACGAGGCGACCAGGCGTCTGCAAGGACAGCAGTCCCGGGACTGTGCGCCACCTCCATCTCTGGAAACCGGGCTCCCCGCCCTAGGCGCGAATCCTCCGCCGCCCCCACCCCCACCGCAAACCCAGGAAAGCGGCGGGCTGGTAGACTGGATTGGAGCTGGCCTGCGACTCCTCTTCCCGCCCCAGGGAGGGGGCGCCCTCGCGGCAGGTGGAGGTACCCGAGCGCCGTCGCGTCGCCGCGCCGTGTGCAAGGTGTCCGGCCCCTCGGAACAGCGTGAGCGCCGGCAGGGACTGCAGTAAGTGGCGGGGCCGGGTTAAGCAGGGCCGAAAAGCCGGGGCCTGCAGGACTCGGGAAGGAGGCGCCCGCTCACGCACCCCACCCTCTATCCGACACCCTCTCCTCGCGGCACTGGCACCCACTGAACACACGCTTCGCCTCAAAGAACACCCCAACTGCCTAGGCCCTCCAAGGTGCACGCCCTGGGGCGCCACATGCATCAGTTCGCAGCCGCTCCAAAATAATTGCGATAATAGAAAAATAGCAGATTGATTTCATGGTGTGCAAAGCGGCCGCTGCACACACACAGATGCTTCTCGTCTTAGCCCAGGGCCACTCAACTCCATGTCCTGCGCGCTTCTGAGGGCGCCGCGCCAGGCTGGGTGCTTGAAGGGGCTTGGCAGCCTTTAGCTCTTCCTCGCAAACATCATGTTACAAATGGGCAAAGCGAGGCGCGGTGCTGAGGGAACTTGTGGGGCCCAGGCATCCGGGGAGGGCCCAGTCCATCTCAGTCCCGGATCTAGTCCGGGCGCTCATCTGCAAAGCGCGCGCCAGGCGCGGGGGTCCTGGGTATAGTCTCTAACCTGACAGCCACTGCCCCCATTTCTCAGCGGGCGCAGGTGAATTTTTAGTCGTCCAACTACCTCAAAGCCACAGTCTTGCCTGCTATTCCACGCCACCTCCCTAGCAGCTCTCAGGGACTTGTTAGAGACAAGCCTGGCTCTCACCTATTGCCCCGGGGAACCCCCGCCCTCCAGAGGCCACGCTTGGCTGCAGACTGCCTGTCACCTCTCCACTAACATCCCGGGGCCCATCCCTGTGCAGCCTAACCGCTTCAAGCGAAGGCGAGAGCCCAGCGTCCCCGGAGGCCTTCTCGGCTCGGCGGCCTCGAACCCCGTACACCTCCAGGCCAGCCAAGCCCGGCGGCCTGAGCGCGG